ACAGGGACACCCTGAACAGGGACACCCCAAAACAGGGACACCCCCAAACAGGGACACCCCCAAACATGGATATTCCCACCTTGGAAACCCCCAACCATGGATACCCCCAACCATTGACACCCCCAAACAGGAACATTCCCAAACCATGGATACCCCCAACCATGGATACCCCCAACCAGGGACACCCCTAACCACCACGGATACCCCCAATCATGGTCACCCACAACCACAGATACCGCCAACCACCGATACCCACAACCATGGACACCCCCAACCATGGACACCCACAAGCACAGATACTCCCAACCACGACACCCCCAAACACGGACGCTCACAACCATGGATATCCGCAACCACAGACAGCCAAAACCATGGTTACCCCCAACCACAGATATCCACAACCATGGACACCCCCCCAACCACGGATACCACCAACCAGGGATACCCACAGCCACGGATACCCCCCAACCACGGACACCAGCAACCATGGGCATCCCACCCCAACCACAGACACCCTCAACCAGACACCTCGACAACCGGTCTCCATTCCCATCGTTCACCCAGCCATCCCATGGTGGCCCAGGGCGGGGGTCCGTGGTGTCCCAGGATGGGGGAGACACCATGGGACATGCATTGTTTCCCAGGATGGGGGTGCCTAGTACCCTCTCCCTGCCCTATGGACACCCTCTGTTGCCCCACGGAGACTTTAACCTCATCCCTGCCCCATGGCACCCCCCGTGACCCCCTAACACCCCCTTCCACATGGACCCCCCCCAACTCCACAGACACCTGGACACCCCATCCCCATTCCTGCACCATGGCCTCCCGTTAGCCACCCCTTCCAATCCCTGGGGTGTCACCCCATGGATCCCGCAGCCCCCTCCCTGTCCCATGGGACACCCTCGGGCATCCCCCGAGCGCCCCGGTGTCCCCGGTGTCCCCGTCCCACCTTTGCTGGTGCCGTCGGGCCCGCGCAGCACCGTGCACTCGTCGATGGTCCCRAAGGGCTCGAACATCTTGCGCACGTCCTCGTCCGCCTGCTGCTTGCTCAGCATCCCCACGAAGAGCTTGCGGTCCTCTGGGGACGGGGACGTGGGGCCAGGGGGGTCCCGGCCCCCGGGGACACCGCGCCAGGGGGACACCAGGCCGCTCCGGGGACATGGATGGGGACGCTATGCCCGGATGGGGACATTGTGCCAGGCCAGCTGCCAGCCCCAGGGACAGGGATGGCTCTGGGATAACGTGTCACCCTGGGGACACGGATGGGGACTCTGCCCCCCACCCCGGGACGCCGTGCCAGGGAGGTGGAGCTGGGGTGACCCGAGGGCCGGCGCCACGTGGGGAGGAAGCGCCAGGATGGGGACGAGGACAGGGGAGCCCGGCACGGGGCTGGTGTGGTGTGGGGACACGCTCGGGGTCCCCGGGGGCGGCGGCGGGCGCTGCGGGGGGGTCGCTACCTCCTCGGCTCTCACTGTCCGCCGGCTTCACCTGGATGGGCCGGTTCATCTGCGGGGGGGGCAGCGGGATGGGGCCAGGCCGCACCCTGGCGCTCAGGAGCCCCCCCAGATTCCACCCACATGCACACTGGGGATGCAGGAACCCAGGTGCCCCCCCCCACGGCCATCCCTGTACCCCCAAGATGCCCGGTTGCCACGGCAACCTTGCATCCCATTACCGCAGCAACGGGCACCGCGGCAACTGCCAGCGGGGGAGTGGGGAGGGGCAACCCCAAGGCCGCTAATGAGCCGCGGTGTTAATTAGGGTCTGGGGGGAACCAATGTACCACTACACCCCCCCCCCGCCCCGCAACCCCTGGAGGCCGCGGGGAGGGGGAGAGGAAGGGCACAGATGCCTGGTAACCATGGCAACGGCCGAACACGCTCCATGGCAACCACCTACTCATCCCCAATTTACCCGCGGCGTTGCCCGGCAACGTTGCTGACATCATCAGCGCTCGCTATAAACAATGACGGGGCTGCGGGGGGGGGGCAGGAGGTGCCGCGGGGAGGGGGGTCCCGGACACCCCCAGTCCCGACGTGTCCCCCCGGCCCGGGCTCACCCCGACCCCCCCGCGCTGCAGAAAGGGAAGGTGCCCCCGCCCCCCCACCCCCCTCCCCAGCTGCCGCGGCCCCCTCCAAGGGGGGGGTTAATCCCCCTA